GCAATGAGTATGGCCATATATTCCTTTTCATAGGCTGATAAGACACGAGACTTGGGACCCAACGCCTTACTTAGGTAAGCGAGTAGATGACCATCTTGCATGAGAACTGCCCCGATGCCCAGGTCAGATGCGTCAGTCTCAATACAGAACGGCTTCGGGAAATTAGGCAGTGCCAGTACCGGTGCCTGACATAGAGCAGTCTTCAGAGTTTGAAAGGCGGTCTCGAGCTCACTTGTCCAAATGAAGAAGGTATGTTTCTTGAGTAAATTTGTCAGTGGCTTCGCAATTATCCCAAAGTGGCGTACAAACTTCCGGTAGTAGCCTGCAAGGCCCAAAAAAGGATCACAGTTCCTTGGTGGAAGCCGGGACTGGCCACTGCTGGATAGCCGTGAGCTTGGACGGATCTGTACCAACTCCTGCTTCACTGATAGTATGACCCAGATATAAGATTTGACGTTGTGCAAATGAACATTTGGACAATTTGAGATACCACTGATCACGTGCCAGCAACTGAAATATCAAACGAATGTGCTGAAGATGAGTGTCAAAGTCTGGGCTGTAGATCAAAATATCATAAAAAAAGATGAGCACAAACTGTCAGAGGTATGGGGCCAAGGTAGTGTTCATGGCCTCTTGGAAAGTACCAGGAGCCCCAGTGAGGCCAAAAGCCATTACACAGAATTCGAACTGACCAAAGTGAGTTTGGAAGGCCATTTTGAATTCTTCACCCAACTTCATGCGGATCTGATGAAACCCCACACGCAAATCCAGACTTGTGAACCAGGAAGCACCAGTTCATCAATGATGGGCACAAGAAATTTGCCTTTAACAGTAATTGCGTTCGGGTGACGGTAATCAACGCAAAATCTCCAGGTATTGTCCTTCTTTTTCACCAAGATTACAGGGGAGGAGGAGGGACTGTTTCTCTTTTAGATAATACCGTGTTGCAGCATGTCTGTCACTTGACGCTCAATCTCAGTTTTCAATATTGGAGCATAGCGATACGGCCTTATGAAGACTGGGTTGGCACCTTCAATAAGTTGAATAGAGTGATCACATGAGCGAGGAGGAGGAAACTCAGTGGGCTCCTGAAATATAGCATCAAACTCTTGAAGCATAGCCGCAATCTCTGGTGGGACAGCAGTGACAGCATCAGAAGATTCAGCTTGCTGATCAGGCTGAATAGCAGTCAGTTGCAGGACAGAACCAACAGGTATATCACCATTGCAACCATATAGAACCACTAGCTTATCTTCATAAGGAATAGATAACCAATGCTGTTTCCAATGTATGTGCATTGGACTAAAGGACTGCAACCAATCCAAACCCAAGATCATGTCATGTGTTGGTAGTGGCAAACTTTTCAGGTCACTGACAAAAGAATACCCCTATACTGACCATTAGGCTGCTGGCACATAAGTATCACAAAGTAAAACTGCTCCATTAGCTACTTGCACCTGAATTGGCGGGTTGAGAGCACAAACACCAGGGAGTGAATCACGGAACTTAGCACTGAGGAATGTATGTGAACTCCCACTGTTGACCAGGATGGAGATTGGCTGGTCTTGTAAACTGCCCATCAGACACATGGTATTGGGACAAGAAGAGCCTGTCACAGCAGCCACTGACAGATGTAGCATAATTTGATGATCCGGTGCAGACTGCACAGATTTAGTGTCTTCCTGATCCTCAGTGGACTGAAACAAATCATATAGTTCTTGCACAACATGAAGTTGGACCAGAGGGGCGCACCTATGGCCACGGAACCATTTAGCACCACAGCGTATGCACAGACCTTGAGCGACGATGTTCCGCAGGGCCTGATACTTATCTTCAGCTGTTGTAGGCTTCATCGGATCAGGCGGCCTGGTTTCAGCAGCGGCCGCCGGCTTGATAGGAGGAAGCGGCAATGGATGGGCACCCACTGTTGATGACTTGAATTGAGGTGGTGCATCCAACCGGCGGAATGGCTTCCTTGGGGCAGTAACCTCCTCCTGCAACTGAGCAAGGACACAGGCAGTATCCAGCGAAGAAGGACGTTGCACAAGAACAACAGCTTTGATATCATCCCGTAACCCGTCAATAAAGCGTTGGACATAATATATAGGATCAGGGTGGGCTGCATAGGCTTTAAGCTGGTCGACAAGGGCGGTGAATTGTTCAATATACTCAGAGACAGTGCCAGTCATTCTACAGTGGAATAGACGGCGAATCAGGAGCTCATGTTCGTCACGGCCAAAGCGTTCTAATAGGATGTGGCAAAAATTGGTCCAAGAGATAGTAGGAAGTTGTTCTTCGACCGACTGCTTCCACCGAGCAGCAGCCGATGATGGCTGAAAATGCATACTGGCGACCTTAATCCAAACGGGTGTTTCAACAGAGTAGAGATCAAAGTAGTCCTCATAGTTTTTAGGCCAGGATTTGGGGTTTTCACCATCAAACATAGGGAAATTCAGCTTGGGTAGTTTGCCTGTATGATTCCCGCTACTGCTCCCCTGAACCCTAGTTTCCCAAGGACAGCTAGGCGCTGGAGGAGGACGCACACCCGGAACGAAAGAGGAGCAGACTGAATGGATTGGCAAGGCAACGTACCCTTGCCCGGGGTGGTATTAGAGTGGTAACCACTCCAAAATCACCCGCCCGGGTCCTGTTGTCGACGCAGTGCCTATGGGGCAGTTCGGCTGGAGATCCGGCAGACGAATGCATGGCAGCCTGGTGAGAGGTGATGCCGCTTCCGCTGGGGTCGTGGAACGGCGCCTGCGACAATGGTGGCACGAAGGTCCTGGGGAACGGCGCCTGCGATGATGGTGGCACGAAGGTCCCGGGGAACGGCGCCTGCGACGATGGCGGCATGAAGGTGCCAGGGATCGCCCTGTCGGTGATGGCGGCGTGAAGTTCCCGAGGATGCTTGGTGATTTTGCCAATCTCCTGCTTGAGGTCGTCGACGACCCCTTAGATGTCGGGACGCCATTCGTCGAACACCTTGGCGGCGTTCTCGAGCGCCTGGAGGCGGGTGGCGGCGGTGGTGGACGACTCCGAAGACTTCTGCTCTAGATCGGCGAAGCGGGTGTCCCACTTGCGCTCGTGGTCATCAAAGCGCTTGGAGATCTCGTCGAGGATGAGCTTAGTGTCGGGGTTCATGGCTCCTCGGTGGCGTTGAAGGCGAGTGTAGTGGTCGTGGTCGGTGGGAAGGGCGTGCTCCAGATCGGCGTTCGCCACAAATCGATTTACTCGGAGGAGGGAATTACGGAATCTCACGGTGATCTGCAGCTCACAGCGCAGCGACCGCGAGTTAGACCAACCGGACCAATTGAGGATTCGATCGATGGATTGTGAAAGATTTCTGTCTCTGATACCACTTGTAAGCCAAGGAGCAAGGGTAGGAGAGAATTTGGGGAGGAATTGGGAATTGGAATGGAGTTCAGGGTAGGCAGAATAGCATTGGGATAGATTTCAGACGAGTTCTTAGAAGGTAATAGGGTTTGTGTTTACAATTTTGAATGATCCCCTCTCTAGGATACTCTTTTGCTTGTATTAGAGAGGACTCTGCCTCGGCGGCGTGTGCAAGCGCATCACTCCTCACGGTAACGGTTGTTGAGCTTCCTGGGCCTGTTGTTGCGTCTTGGGCCTTGTGGTGTCACGCCAGCGCCTTTCTTTGCCGGACCAGCCACAGTGCTAACAGCGTCGGCCCGCGAACTGGCTGGCACTGCTGGACCGACGCGGTAAGGACGCAGCCCAACTCCTCGATGGCTCGGCGCTCCACGGGGTCCGCGGTCGGGGAGGCCACCTCGACATCACCGATCGCATCGGGGAACGCATCGCGAAGGAGGAGCAGCATGGCAAGGCGGAACCGTGGCGCTTTGCTGTACTGCACGCCACCGAACCCGTAGGCCACGACGCGGAGCCGCTCGGCGCCGGGGCCGCCGCGGACGAGCGCCTATGCGTCGTGGAATGCGGCATCGGAGGCAAAGAGGTCGGAGAGCTTGGCGAAGAGTCTGGACGACGCGGCCATCACCATGGCGAGCCGCATAGAGGCCACGAGCCATGCGTCGTCGCCAATCACGAACTCTTCCATGACCAGGCCGGATGACAAAGAACAAGCGCCACCTGCGCACTCTCTCCGGCACTCTCCCCACCCCTTGCGCGCCCCGTGTCGGCCCTGTTCAGCCCCGCGGGCGGGCCTATCCTCCCCCGCGGCGCTGCCAATGTCCTCCTCGCTGTGACCCTAGGTGTGCCTCCCCATACGGCCACGTGGCCGGATGCCGGCGGCCCAGGGCCGGAGATCCGCCCCTCATCGGCGCCCCAAGGCCAGAGATCCACCCCTCTTTGCGTGCCGCGGCTGAGCGGAGTGCTGAAGGCCATCGCGGCGGAGCGGTTGGTTCAGAGGTGGAGGATAGGGATCCATGGCGTCCTCGACGCGTCCATTGGCGGCGGCGGCGTTTTTTTTTCGTGTTCGCACGTGCATGGGAGGGAGGGCACGGCGGTGAGAAGCCTGACATCAAACAACAAAAATCGGCCATCGGATGGGTTTTGGTGTTTTATTAGCCTTTAATTTTAACGGAGACGAATTTCTGTGTGCACAATGGTCAGCGGGGGACGTTTCTCTGGGGATCTAGTATAATTTTGATTGGTCCATTATAGCAGAGATGAGTTAACGCAACGAAATAGCACACATTCCATCCAGACATAGGGATCATCCTTGCAGTGTTTTCTTGCAAGTCCATAGCTTCCTAGCTGGTCTTGACTCTTGATTAAACATGCCTGAAAATGCTTGATACCATCTCAAGTGCATTATAACATAGCGTCAGCGAGCATTTAGCAGGCATAATTCAGTCTAGCATCTAGATTACAGAATACAAACAGTAAAGACTGGGAGCGGGTAACCATTTTTCAGTGTTATTGACATCCACAGCTAGCGTGGGGAAGCCCATGATCAAGCCATGCGCCGTGTTCAGACATGACACGCTTCCTGCTACGTGTCCTGCTCAGGTTTTGGACCGTCATCGTCCGTCGTCGTCGCGGTACTCGTACCAAGGATCCACGCCGCGCGACACGACCCGCCGAGCGACCTCCCAGATAGACTCCAACTCCTTCTCGCCACCGGTGACGGCTAAGCTCATGGCCAACGGAATCTTGCTACCCAGCTCGAAGGTCATGGCGCCATCGCTGAGCTCTGCGGCGGCGCCCAGAGCCTCCGCGTGCGCGAGCTGCTCCAGGAAGACATCTCCGGTGCTTCTGTCGAAGCAGAATTCACCGAACCTGTCCCTACAGTAGGAGGGCACCTTCACGTCGTACGTGCGCGCCACAGCTCGGCGGCCGTGGCGAAGCGGGCGTAGTCCGGCAGCAGGTGGTCGGAGAGCGTGCACAGGATGTGGCCGCGGCACAACGCGTCGTCGCGCGACCACTTCTTGGCCGCGGCCTCATCGTTGTCGCCGGCACCGGCGGGTCGGACCTCGAAGAACACGTGGGCGACGCCGAGGGTGTGGACGCGGAGGAGCAACGATTCCTTCCACCGCAGGTAGCCGCCGGCGCCGTCCAGGGGCTTGATGGGGAGAGTCGCCATCGATCGGAGCACCTGTAAGACACGACACCAATCGACGCATTATCAGCGAGCCACTGCATGCAAGATGGGCGAGGGTTCTTGCTATTTTGCGGAGGCAGATTTTGACGCAGATTAATCATGCGATAGGGGACGCTTTTGACGGCGATTAGAAGTCCGAGGGGCGGATGGCGGCGATACATACCTTAGGGTTTTCTGATCGGAAGCGATATTCTTGTTGATACGAAAGACTTTGCTTCCTTTTGTAGGCGGAGGAGCGAGATTCTTGGGGCGAGAGCGTCTGTAACAAATAGTCCTACCTGATTTTTTTATTAACTAACCAACCAAATTTCGGTTCGGTTTTTAGAAACTTCTTTTTCCATCCATCAGTAATCGGTCGGTTAATCTATATTTACATCTATATCTATACCTAATAATAATATAGAGACAAAATTTTCTCTTTTTTTGTCCATTTGTTTTGGTCTAGCCTTCCCTAACTACTTTTACGCACCCTCCTATTTTATACATATGCCGGGCTAAGAATTCTAATCTTATTCAAATAGATTCCACATACCCTAAGCTGAATAGGAATCCTAATCATCCTACGGATCCTAATCATATACCTAATACTAAAAAGGCAAAATTTGTACCATTAATTTTTTTCTACCGCTTGTATTAGTTGCACTACTACGTAATAGCACTTCACCGTCGGCCTCATCACTACCGGAATTAGGAGAACCGGTAGTGTTGATCCTTCACTGCCGGTTCTTTCTCTAAAAACCAGAAATTGATTTGGGATGTGACCGAACTGACAGTGATGACAACTATCACTGCCGGTTTGTGTCTCTAACCGGCAGTGGCTTATGGCCACATATCACTGCCGGTTCAAGCCAAGAGCCGACAGGGATTGGGTTCTATCACTGTCGGTTCTATCCATGAACCGACGGTGATAAGCCTACAACACAAAAAGGCTGTAGCCGTCCTCTCCTTCCTCCTTTCTTCCATCCTGAAAACAGAGGCGCGCGTTTGGGCCCTTCCCTCTATTGTTGCGGCTGCTCTTCACCATGAAGTTAGCGCTTGGATTTTGAAGAATGGCTTGATCTTTTTGGTTTAAGGTTAGTAACAAACATCCACTCCTTTGATTTTATTGCTTAATTAGCTTTGTTTTGATGGTTATATTGCTTGATTCTCGTTCTAGTTCTTTCTCCATTCTAGAGAGCACTTTTCTAACTGGACATTTGTGCAAGGCTCAAATTGTGGTGAATCCATCGTTCAAAAGGTTGGTGTCTATGAACATATTTAAATTCCTAGCTAATTATTCCATGGTGGTCAAGATCATCATTGTTAGTATGTGATGCTATAATTAGTTCTTAGAAGTAGAGTAGATTCTTTTACAATTTGTTGAGAAAATTAATCTATGTGTCACATAACAACGCATTGTTTGGAGCTACATTATTGTTCATGATCATGTCTCCAATTTTAGACTTATTTTTAAAATTAGTGTCTCCATTTTTATGTGATATGGAGTAGAATAATTGTTCTTCAATATTATGCAATAATTTTTTACGGGGCTGTGTTTTTCAATTTATATGGGTATTGTTTGGAGCTACATTGTTGTTCATGATCATGTCTCCAATTTTAGTGTTTTTTAAAATAAGTGTCTCCATTTTTATTTGGCATGGAGTAGAATAGTTGTTCTTCATTATTGTACAATAATTATTTTTTACTACGATTTTCAATTTACAGGGCCGGGGCTATCAATTTTAATTTTCTAATAATTAGTGTACAATAATGTTTTCCAAAAAATGGTACTTTCGAGCTACAATTGTTGTTCATGAAGCTCGATTTCTTATTAATTCTTTGTAATTACTATCTCAATATTTTTTTGTGCAGAGATGGATCGAGAGTGGATGCATCTGTCCCGAACGGACAAGCGGTACATGCATGGCGTCAGCCAGTTTATCACCGATACCAAAGTCCATGCTGGGAATGGGAACCCTGTCTTCTGCCCATGCAAAGATTGTAAGAATCAAAGAAAATTTCGTCAAATTGAGTCTATACGATCACACTTGATTATGAGGGGGTTCATGCCAAACTATACGATATGAATATGCATGGCGAGGTTGGTGTGAATGTTCCGTAGGAAAACAATGATGATGTGGATATGCCTGACATAGCCATCCACGATGCTGATGAGAAACCCAGTGTCAACACGGAACTTATGGCCACAGTTAATAATGTGTTTAGAAACACGCTAGCTGACGACACCGAGGATAATAACGATGGCATTTCTCGGCTGCTACGTAATGTAGAGGCTGGATGTGTTGGTGAAAGACAACTGAGAAAGCTAGAGAAAATAAGACAAGATGGCAAAACACCATTGTATAAGAATTGTCCAATGAGCAAACTGGAAGCCAACATCATGCTGTTAGAGTTCAAATCGACAAACGGATTGAGCGATAAAGGTTTCGATTAGTTGTTAGGTATAATAAGTAAAATGCTCTCAGAAAAAATGAGTTGCCAGAAAAGACATACTTGGCCAAGCAAATGATCTGCCCTATCGGCCTCGAGGTTGAAAAAATCCACGTGTGTTCCAATGATTGCATATTGTACCATAGAGAAAAATACAAAGACTTGGACAAGTGCTCCAAGTGTGAAGCTCCATGGTACAAGGAAGGGCCGTCAGATGAGGGTACCAAGACCAGAGGAGGTCCCATAAAGGTCGTTTGGTATTTCACTATAGCTCCCCGGGTGCATACGCTGTTTGCATGTGCAAAGTCAGCCAATCTATTACGCTAGCATGGCGAAAAGCGTAAGAAAGATACAATGATGAGGCACCCTGCTGATGGGCATGCCTAGAGGACTGTCAATACTATGTTCTATAAGGACATCGGTGGAGAGGTAGGGCACTTTTGGTTTACTTTGAGCACAGATGGGATGAATCATTTCGACCAGGTTAGAAGCAATCATAGCACCTAGCCAGTGACACTCTGTATATACAACTTTCCACCTTGGGTCTATATGAAGTGGTCATACATCCAGATGCCACTACTGATCCAAGCGCCAAGACAACCTGGGAATGACATCGATGTGTTTATGGAACCAGTGATCGATGAACTAGTGGAGATGTTTGAAAAGGGTGTGCCAGATGTTTGGGACGAGTACAAAAAGGAACATGTCACGATCAAGGGAGTACTTATCGCTACAATCATCGACCTACCAGGTCGAGGTTCGTTGTCCGGAGAGAAGACAAAAGGCTATACTGGATGTGTCGAGTGCTTGATGACACCGATGCGGTAAATCTGCCAAATAACTCAAAGATAGTTTATATGGGACACCGTAGGTTCCTACCTAAGGATCACCCTTACCGTAGGAACAGAAAAGATTTCAACGGTACTATTGAGAAACGCTTAGCTCTAAAATATCGAGATGGGCCTGTGATACTTCGAGAACTCAACAAACTAGAGGTTGTCCTTGGGAAGGGGGACAATGTAGTAGCAGCGCCTGATGGGAGCGTTTGGAAGAAAAAATCGGTTTTCTAAAAACTACCTTTCTGGCCATTTCTAAGTGTACGCCACTATCTTGATCCCATGCAGATCATTAAAAACATGTGCGATAACACGCTTAACACCTTGATGGACACCGGGAGGACATCGAAGGATTCACTAGCTACACTCCTGGACATGCAACACTAGGGAATCAGGAAGGAGCTGCATACCGTAGAGCTAGAGAATGGCCAGTTCGAACTTCCAGTTGCGTTATAGACATTGAAGAAGGAAGAAAAATGTGCGCTTATTTCTTTCTTCAATGAACTCAAAGTCCCGGCGGGCTACTATGCAAACCCGAAGAGGCTAGTGAACATGAGAGAACTCAAGTTCAACTATGGCCCTATGAAGGCCCATGACTGTCATGTCATTATGACTCAGCTACTCCCTGTTGCCCTACGTGGTATCCTCCCCCCAAAGGTCCGCACCCCAATCATAAAGCTATGCTCATTCTTCAACGCGATCTCAAAAAAGGTCATTGATGTGTCCACGCTAGAGCAGCTACAGTAGAACATAGCCGAAACTCTCGTTAGGCTTGAGATGTATTTCCCACCGACTTACTTTGATATCTCATTGCATCTGCTCATTCATCTTGTTGACCAAATTAGAGCCCTTGGCCCAATGTACCTGCATCAGATGTTTCCTTTCGAAAGATTGATGAAAGTTTTCAGGAGGTATGTTAGGAACAGATTCAGGCTAGATGGGGGCATGGTTGAAGGATGGTTAACGGAGGAGGCCATTGAGTTCTGCACATATTATCTGGACATCAAAAGGGTCGGAGTTCTAGAATCTCGTCACGAGGGAAGACTACGTGGCAAATGAACGATAGGGGAGAAATCTGTTATAGTAGACGACCCTATTTCTTTCAGATAGACATAGTTCGCTGTTCTCCAGCAAGCCGAGGGTGTGATGCCATACATTGACGAGCATAGGCAATCGCTACAAACTCTGTATCTAAGTAGGTCATAGGCTTGGCTGGATAAAAAGCATAAGGAGGAATTTGTCAACTGGTTGCGACGCTGCTTTCTTGGAATAAAGTTGGGTAATCAAATGGATGCCTTAGCCAAGGGACCTTCGAGTACATATCTTAAGTACCAAGGGTATAAGATCAATGGATTCACATTTTACACAAAAAAGCAAGATGGAAAGAGCACATACCAAAATTGTGGTGTTCGTTTTGATGCTCACGACGAAAATGGCAATGTGCAGGCGACATACTATGGTTTCATAGAGGAGATATGGGGCTAGCCTACAGTCCGTTGAAGGCAGCTCTTTTTCGCTGCCAGTGGGTCTAGCTCGAGGAAATCAACACTGATAGTGAAGGGTTCACTACTGTTGATCTCACTAAGACCGCATACAGAGATGACCCCTTCATCCTTGCAAGAGATGTTATGCAAGTCTTCTATGCATGGGACAACACGACAAAAGGAAGGCTAAAAGTAGTCCTAAAAGGGAAAAGGAAGATTGTCGATGTTGATG